GGCTCATTTTAATTTTCAGTCTCAGATGGCAAACGTATTTATATCACAGAGTATTTGGAGTTCCCATGGAAACTGGGCACCCATTGTTCTAGGTACTATATACAACAAAGTAAGAGACAAAAACTATGTGTGGCAGGGACTATCTAGATAAACATGGGATATAAGGGGAAATGGAGGCACAGAGCAGTGAAGTGGCGGAGGTCTAGGTTGAATATTAGGAAAAACTATTTCACTAGGAGGGTGAAGTATTGGAATGGGTTACCTAGGGAATCACAGAATCATAGAGCTGGAAGAGACCTCAGAAGGTCATCAAGGCAGGACCAATCCAAGGCAGGACCAATCCAACTAAATCAACCCAACCAGGGCTTTGTCAAAAATAATGGCCAAAGGCTCTGAGATGACATTTGCCAACTCCCTCAGGAAGGGGGTGGAATCTCCATCCCTAGAGGTTTTTACATCCCAGCTTGACAAAGCCCTGGCTGGGATGATTTAGTTACGGTTGGTCCTGCTTGGAGCGGGGGCTCGATGTCCTCCTGAGGTCTCTTCCAGCCCTAGGATTCTATGATTCTAAGTGACTTGCCTGATTCCCACTCTAGTACCACAGCAAAAGGCCACACTAGCCTCAAACCGGGTAATTTGGAAATGCAGGTCTGAAGTTTGACTAAGAGGTAGTTAGTGATGGCTGAGATAATACCAATTAAAAAAAAAAACACCAGAATTTTCATTTTTGCATTGAAAAAAAATCAGGCTAGTATTGTTCCAAATAACAGCTAGAAATACAATGATGAGAGTATTTTTCTGTTTGACAGCACTTGTCAGTCAGGCCCTATGATTGCATTACTTTTCATACTGACCAGAGTGGTCAGTAACAGAGAAACCTTTTGGAATAAAATAAGAAAATGTGATTTCAAAGCCTTAAGGGGCAAGTACAGTACCTGAAACTACAGAATCAATTGCAAATCAATTGCATCCCTTTAATCTCTTGCCTGTTGTCTGTATTTGCCTGCAAATACCACCATGTTCCTGACCTCCGTGTCTCTGCGTTCCAGCTCAAAAACATACTTAATGGAGTCTTACAAATCCTATTCCCTCTCTCTTAACAAGGACACCTAGCAGAAAAGATACAACAAATCTGGAATCTCTGTACTGCATATATCACTGAATAAAATACCATATTATCGCTTTCATTCATCTTCCATTCCTTCTATATTTTGTAATTGTCATATGTCATATTTTGTCAGTATAACACAGGATCCCTTTGAGGAGATGACCCTGTGTTTTGCCATTCTGGCAAGCACCAAATATATTTCTAGCAAATGTTTCATTTTTGTTTCAGGCTGCCAGAAAACAAGTTTTTCCTAGCCTACAAAATCCTCCGATTGATGAAAATATTCTGTGTGCCTTTTTAAAAACCCTGAAATGGATTTATGTCAAATAAGCAAATTAGTAAAATGCAACTGGGTCAGTTAACAGACAAATTACACACCTTGTTTTTGAGACGCTTGCAAAGTAAATATAACAGATTTCATCAAGAGTTGTGCTGCCCGGTGCCACTATTGTACAACACTTAGTTAACAGAAGATGTAAGAGTTTAACCAGATAAACGATAAGCTGACACCAGTTAAACTCTGACTCCTCCTGGGGAGCTGGCTGCCGCCTCATGCAAAAGGTCCGCAGCATGGAGCAGCCGGTGTCCCAGGAACGATCCTGGTAGAAAGAGTCATCCTGGGAGCGGCCGTGGAAGCACCCCTTCAGCCTCCACCATCCTTCCCCTCCTTCTCTGCCTTCACTAGGTAAAACAATTAACTGTGTAACCAACAGGAATTTTAACTGTTACAGTAAAGTCCTGGTTATCCAACTTTCACTTATCCGACTTTCTGTTTTATCTGACGGTGCCGCCAGCACCGTGACAGCAAGGAGCTCCAGGGACACTTCATACCACAATGGCCTTGCTTTCCCTTTTTCCAGGGCTGGGCAGGTCTGCGGCACACAGTACGGGCTCGGCAACCTTACCTCTCCACCCCATGCCTGGGGCAGCTCATGCCCACGCTGCAGGCTCGCCCGGTGTTCAGGTATGCTTGGCCCGATCCTGGCTATCTTGCCGCATTAGTGGCTCTGCTTTTAGAAGCTGGCCCGGATCCACTCCCCGCTCCCAAAACCTGGGACCTGCTTACTCCTCCCAAAACTTTGCTGGCTGGGGGGGAGGAGAGGGGTGGAAGGGAGGGAGTTGCCCTCCTGCAGAGTGAGCCCGGCTCCCAGCCAGAGCAAGCGGGGAGTCCGGGCTGAGGCAGGAAGGGAAGTGTGTGGGGAGGGGAGGGGCCACCACTGGACTGAAGAGAGGCAGGAGCGCCGGGGCCTTGGGCATGTCCGGGCAGCCTGGAGGAGGAGGGAGGAAGAGGAAGGGGGAGGACGCGGCCCCTCACGAGGATGCAGCATCCAGAATCCGCCGGGGAGGGAGCAGCACACCCGCCTGGGAGGGCCCCCCCTCAGCCGCCTCTGCCTCTGCCAATGCTGTTCTGCTCCCGCCCCTCGGCAAGAGCACGCCAGGCCCCCACCCCAAGCTAGCACCGTCCCTATTATTCGACATTTCCAGTTATCCGACCATCCTCCAGTCCCGTTTAGGTCGGATAACTGAAACTTTACTGTACTTGGTTACTGCGATTTTTTTACATCTCTAGTCTACACTACTCAGAGCTGGCCCAAGGTACGGGCTGACCGGGCTACCGCCCGGGGCGCCCCATTGTAGGGGTCACCTGCGGGGCTGCCGGGCTGGGTGGGGGTGGCACCGCACATGCTCCGTGCGCCCGGGGCGGTGCCATGCATGCGCCGGGCGTCCCGGGGTAGGGCTGAGCATGCGCTGCTGACCAGGGGTGGGGCTGCGCATGTGCTGGGCGCCCGGGGGCAGCACCGTGCTTCCAGAGCACACAAATGGCTCGGGCCAGCTCTGACACTACCACTTATTTCAGTACACTGTAACTAGAAGATTTACCCGGCATTGCTCAGGCCCTTAACTAAATTTTTGTTTCTCTTCATTTAAATCAGTGCTTGGGGTGCGGTTGAGGATGAGAGGTTCAGTATTCAGGCTGTCCTTCTCTCACCTCAGCAGCTTAGGGCCAGGTGAAAAGCATCTCTCCATGGCTGCTGCAGTTCCAGTGGGTACAGCTGTAGGAGAGGTACACATCCCTCATCTGGGGAAGATCCAGGTTTGTCTGCTTCCTGCGCTCTTCAACCAGAGTGAGGAATGCAGCAAACTGTGTACTTTCCCCTGGCTTCCTGACAAAGGAGAACAGTCAGCAATATCCCCATATGAACCAGAGATGGGAATGCATCCTCAGCCAGCATCTTTCACCTGCCTGGTGACTCTGTCTCTTTTCTATATGGTTTTATGTGCCCCTATACAAATGGGGGGAAGCTACAGCCTCCCTCGCCCCCTCTAAAGGGTGCCTGTGGGGTGGGAGGCTCGGGGCTGCCTTTTCACCAGCTTGGTGATTCTATCTCTTTTCCGCATGAGAAGCAATCCCAGTCTCAGACCATCCCGTTTTCCTGGAACAACCAAATCCTTGCACTGGTTTAAGTTATGACAAGAGGAAGCTGCACCCCAAATTTGGTGGTCCTAGCTCTTACAGTTAGAGTTCTTGGACAGGCACACACACCAACAGATGCATGAACAGAGACATAGACACATAAATTCTCTCAAATATATAGTAGATTTGTCACTTGGGGGTGTAAATAAAACTACTCCCAAGCAATGTAAGTTACACCTGATCTAACCACCAGAGTAAACAGAACTATGTTGGAGGAAAAACTTTTCTCACCAACATAGTTACTGCCTCTCAGAGACGTGGATTTACTATGCCGACAGGAGAGAGCATGGAGTGCCTTCACCCACATGTGCTTCAACTGGCTGCTAAAGAATAAGAGGCTAACAGGTGTTTCCGGTGTTATTGTTACAACAACCCTATCCCAACTAAGGATGTAAAGGACTAGTCGATTATCTGATAAGCATTTGCTTATCGGATAGTATTTTGTGTAGTCGACTAGTCGAAATCCCTCTCCCCCCTTTGTTGCCTTTATGAGATAGAAGCAGCAAAGGAGGGGGAAGGTGTACTTCAAAGTGGCAGCGGCTCCTTCAAAGCTTCCCCTTTAAAATGCCGCCTCTGCACCTTTCAAAGTGGCAGCCATGGAGCCCAGGGTCAGCTGGGGAATCCCCATCTGGCTCCCCACGGCATTTCCCCAGAAGCAAGGGGACTCCCCAGAATCCAGGACTCCCCAGAGGAGCCCGGGGCCAGTGGGGGCACTGTGAGTCCCTTGCTGACCCTGGGCTCCATGGCTTTGAAATGCATGAGAGTCCCTGTTGGGGACTTTTGTGCATTTCAAAGCAAGCACGCCATGTGCAGCCTGGAGTCAGCAGGACTTCACGCTGGCCCTGGGCTGTACGCAGATTTCCACATTCCTCCTTTGAAATGTGTAAGAGCCCCAGTAGAGGCTCTTTTACATTTCCAAGGACGAATGCAGAAGTGCCTATCAACTAGTCTATGGAAATTCCATCGACTAGTGGACTAGTCAATTAACCACATTTTAACAGTCTTAATCCCAACATCAATACCAAGCTTTTATTGGCTATGTAGTTCAATGATCCACATCTGCAAAATCTGAAGAAAAAGCATATGGAGCACTACTGATCAATACATCTTTTACATTTTAAAATCTTAATTTAGAAGACTACAGAAACAGGCAATTATAAATTCTTATCTGAAGACTTTGCTGGCCTTAGAATAGAGATGAATCTCTGATAAATTAGTGCTGCATGAATTAATATATTTTTAAAATATACAGTTTAATTTTCAAGAGCATAACTAAAACATGAACCTAAAAGCTATGGATAGAATTTTAGAAATGTTCTGGCATTTTCTATGCCTTTGTAATATCCTCTAGCCTCCCACACTCTCTCTATTATAAAACTTTAAATACTTTGTGTTTATTTGCATATCAATACTTACAATGAATGCTCTTCCAGTTCACAGCAGTAGAGGCATCTGAGCTCTGGGAACAAATTGAAAGAATCTGTAAACTCAGTCATTTTCTACATATTTTGTAACTGCTTTGATAAACTTATATACTTTTCATAGTTTTCTTGATAAAACTTTTGCTGGACAAGGTCATAAAATAGCCTAAATTCTGCTTTAAAAGTGCTAATAAGGAATTAGTTCAATGTTTGTTCCAAACTGCTTTTTTAAAATACATTTTTTTTCCAAAACCGAGAAAAACTATTTGAAGTAGCTCTAGCTAGGAAAATTAAATATAAGTTCTTCTCTGAGAAGCATTTTGTGAGCAGAAGCCATGTTAGTATGTAACTTTAAAAAAAAAGTAGCCCTGTAGCACCTTAAGGTACATCTACACTGTGGAAGTATCCCACAATAGTTATTCCGCAATACTGAAGTAGCCCGTTATGTCAAAATAGATTTTAAAATAATGGGTGGCTTATTCTGATGTCCCGGTAACCCTCCTTCCACAAGAACTAAGGAGTGTTTTGGAATAGTGAGTTATTTCAAATTTGGTGCTGTATAGTCAGCGGCAGAGTTTTTCCGTGCCAGTCTAGACGAACCCTTAGACTAGAGACTAATAAAATATACATATATATGTGAGCAAAATCTCCTTCCTCAGATGAGTGGAGAGAGACCCTTTTTTAAAGGGTCAACAATACCCTCAGCCTCTGTGTATTACTCTTGATTCAACACAATTCACTTTAAAATTAAAAAAACCCAAACTCTCAAGATTTAAAGAAAACAGTCTGAAAATACTAGTCCAGAACAATTGCATTCAATTTTGGACCATATAGCAAACAAAATCAATCCTTGCGACTAGAAATATCTGGGGACCAGTAAAAATGCTTTCAGGATCAGTACAGTTTTCCAGATTATTTCAAGATGTGAATTAGAGGGGAAAAAAACCCCAAAACGTATTTCCATAGCTCATGGTACTCAGAACTTCAGGCTACTATTGAGTACATTTTTAAACCCCATATTATTTACTAAAGATGGTTGTCCTCAAACATAAGCAGTATGTACTGGAGTCTATTTATGGCTTTAAAATATTTACAAGAATATGAAGAAGGATCAGAGATCATAGCTGAGTCATGGTTTCTTCCTGCCTTCTCAACACCAACCAAATATAATTATTCAAAAAGCCATTATTAGTGCTTCTAGATTTCAGTATTAATGCTTAGTGCCTTTTAGAAATCATTTTACAGAAATATAGTAACACAAAATATAATTGTTTAGTGATGGATAAGGCAAAATGGGGAACTGTCAGAGCACTGGTAGAAGAAGATTGTGTCAAATGCAATCTAGCACAGCATCCAGAACTTTTACAGTCAGAATTTTAGGCTCCATGGTATGACAAAATGCTTGTTTGCTCCCAGAACACCACACACACAGAGACTAACAAGACAGCTTGCTGGATCCACGCTGCCTCCACTCAGCTACAAAGTAGAGTTTTCATGTTATATTCAGGATAAAGGTGTTCAGATTCAGAATAACTTGTATACCTACATAAAAACAGAGCAATAGATGAAGGTAAAAATGCTATTTCTTTAGTTTATGTTTCATCTGGCCTCATTCTCCGAGGCCTCAGTATTGCCAGCCCCAAACATTTAAAAATCACAAGTCAGCCTCCACCAAACCAAAATCATGTCATTGGCTTTGAAATCATAATTTTAGAAAAAAAAAGTTCTGAGGTTTTTTTGTATTGTGATGCTGGGGTTTTGTGATGCTTTGCATAAAAGAGGTGACCATTAATCACTACTGTTACCATTATGTAAGATTTATGAAAATATATAACAAAGTGTATCATGTAAAGTGTCAATAGAAAGGTACTTATGATTATCCTGTTTATATGCATATCTAGTCTTTGTATAAAAATTATGAATATTGGCTATGTACCTGTATCTAAACATGTATTTCATTCCTGGATGACACCCCCTAGATAAAATTTACATGTTGATGGCCCATCAAGAACACCCAGTTCTCACAATGGTCCACTGAAAAAATGTATCCGGCCAATAGCCACTCTTCTGTGATTCAGCAAATCAGGTAAGGACCTGTTAGATGCTCATGTGACCCTGGACTCCACTTTGGGCCAGTAACTTTCCATGAATAGTGGCTGTGGGCTTTATTTGGGACAGTACATTTCCATGCACATGGCAGAGGATATAAAAAGGCACCGACATCTTTCCTGCTCTGATTCTCTGGACTGTGCATTTACAACTAAAACAAACATCTTGAACTGTGGACTGAGGACCTTCCAATCTTTTGGAAATTACCAGAGAAATTTTACAAGCCAGCATGCTATTTTATCACTGCCACAACACTGATAAGGACTTTGCAATCATTTGCATATAGATGATCTATCAACCATTTATAACTCTCCTTTTCTTTTATTAATAAACCTGTAATTAGTTAACTAAAGATTTACTGACAGTGTGATAATTGGGTAAGAGCTGCTATTCCCATTGCCCTAGGAATTTGTGATCCCTAGGTTGATCCAATGGGTTTTCAATAATCTCCCACTATTGTAGAGTTTGCTGTTAAGATGGGAGCCAATGCCTGGAATATGTTGAGGGGATAGCATTTGGCTTCTGGTTAACCAGTTGGGTCCTGCAGAAGCCCTTTTGTTACTGGCTTGGTAAATTGAATTATAGAACAACACACCAGTTTTGAGGATCATCTGCTCTATTTATAAAGAAAGTCATGCAAATCCATGGGTATCTGCTTTTTATGTGGGGTATCTGCATCCACAGATATCTGCAGGTCATTTTTAGAGATTGTGGATCTGATACAGATATAAATGTTGTACCCACAGAGTGCTCTACCTATTTCTTAGAGTCTATCCACTGTGTGGCATTTTCATGGTGGCCCATCCCAGGTACCCAGTCGCAATCTATCATCTGATTTTTTGAGATTCTGGAGTTCGCATTTTCAATCTTATTTGCAATCGAAATTTTTTTTAAAATAGGTTTTTAGCCACAGAAAGATGAGATTCTCACTTAATCACATGACTCATGAAAATGGACCTTTAAGATAACCACCAAATATCACAAAAATCAGCAACATTGAGCCCCTAAGAAGGTGGTAAGGGGGCTCTGCAAGTTGGAACCAATTTCTTCTTGGACAGTGAAGGACAGAGGAGTACTGGGTCAACTGCAAAGCATCTTCCCAGTTTGTGGAAAGTTTATTGAGAGGATTGCAGTAAAACAAATGAGAGGTTCTACAGATTTTGGCTTTCCTGAATCCTACACATTTCGGCTTTACGCTTGGGTTTGGGAAACAAGCAAAACTGATTACGGAGCTTCTCTTAGAAATGGAGGAGAATGAATTTTGTGTGCTGATTTTATACCATTGCCTGTGATACCATTGCTTTTTGTAGTAAGGAATATATGTGTTAGAATGGTTCTGTTCTTTCCTTACCTTAGTGGGGTAGAAAGCAGGCCTCAGAAGCCTTCTTAACTAGAAGGGGGACCCATGCCATTGTCCCTAACTTTTGTGGGTGGAGTTTCTAGGGGATGGACCCACAGGGGCTCAAGGTTACAGTTCGCCTAGAGATCCAAACTGCCTTAATGTGGCCCTGATCATATGGTACTGACAAGGCAGTCTGAGTTTGTAAGCCTCACCCTGCAAATCAACCCCAGTTTAGCATTTAATAAAGCTATACTAAAAAAAGCAAATCATGGATAAACAGCTTTGTGAGACTAGAAATTGACATACCATTAGGAGTCTAAGGTTTTGAAAGAAAGCCAAGGGAATTAGTAAAAGTACCAAGCTATGTTCAGAAAGGAGGTTGACAAAAAAAAAAATTCCTTCAGTTCTAACTCCAGCTCAGCTGAAGAAGCATGAACTAGAAACCACATCTGTTTCAACCATAATTTCAGTTAAAGTTGCTGAAAAACAGTCTCATTGAAACAATAATGGGTTTAAGGCTGACAGTGTCTTAGTTTCACTTGGCTTCAGAGGTGACCTGTGCCCTGCACTAGCTCCCTCCTGGCACCCCACTGTATCAGAGGCAGCAGTGCGGAGTGGCAGGGAGCTCCTCAGGCATGGGGATGGAGCTCACTGGCTGCTGGCCTCATGGCCAGGGACTATAGAATAGTCAACTAACCGATAAAAAGCTTCAGAGGGGTAGCCAAGATGGTCTGTTACAGGAAAAAAAACAACAAACAGACTAGTAACCCTTAAAGACTAACAAAGCATGTAGATGGTATCATGAGCTTTCATGGGTGCAACCTACTTCTTCAGTTGACTGGAATATTAGAAGTCCAGATGAAGTGGAAATCCATCAGCTACACAAAGAAACTTGCACAGATCCAAACAGACATCATCTTCCTGTCAAAGTGCAAACAGATGATCATCATACCTAAGGGACCAAGGGTGAAAAACCCACTGCAATCTACGTATCCCACAGATTACAGCCAGCGATTATGCCACACTCTCGCAAAGAAACTCAGGAACCACCTTATCAGCATTCTATACAACAAACATAAGAAAATCAAGGAGGAGCTCTCAACATTAGAAACTATTGTAAAAAACCAAGCTTCCACACACACTTCATCTTTTCCAGACTTTACTAACGTTCAACAACAAACCACCTACAACGACTACTTCATCTCCCTTAAGAAGAAAATGGACAATAAACTATCCAAACTCCTACAAGCCTCATTACCTCTCATTCTAGATACTTTCAATTCACCTAGCAACGTTGTCAATCTATCCAACCACTCTCCTTCTGCCCCACCACCCCTACGAATATGATTTAGTTCTGTGGAGATCTGGAAGCCTATTTTCACTGCCTCCGCCTAAAGGAATACTTCCAACACACCGATGTACAACACACTGACCTTGCTGCTCCCCCCGCCAGTCCCACACGAGGAAGGCTTCTATGTGGACCCCTAATAATGATTGTAAGGAGAGTCTTGACTTCTACATCGACTGCTCCCACAAACGTGCTCGAGCTGACATAGTCAGCAAACAGCAGCATATAACATACAACTT